CTATGTTTGGTTTTCTTTTTTTCTTCAGTCTGTTTTCTCTCTGTTGTTCAGATTGTATAATTCTGTTTCTTCCATCTACTGGTTTTCACTTATCCTCTTATCCTCTCCATTCTCCTGTAAGCCCATCCACTGAACTTTTTATTTCAGTTATATTTTTCAATTCTGTAATTTCCACTTAGATATTCTTTATCTAAGTGGAAATTATATATTTCTTTGCTAAGATTTCCCATTTTCTGAGCTGTTCTATTTTTCATTTGTTTCAAGAGTGTTTGTATTGCTTGTTGAAGCATTTTTATGATAGCTGCTTTAAAATCTTTGTTTGATAATTCCTGCACCTTGTGTCTTCTCAGTGCTGGTGTCTGTTGACTCTCTTTTTTATTCAAGTTGAGATTTTCCCTGTTCTTGTTATGATTAATGAGTTTCTATTTTATTCTGGGTATTTTGGGGAGTGCATTTTGAGTCTTTGTATCTTATTTAAATCTTGTTTTGGAAAACCACCTCTGACTCCACTCTGATGTGGTAAGGTGGGCACTACCTCATTATGGCCAGGTTTGGGTGAAACGCTACATTCCTTTATTGGCCTCTATTGACACTTTATGCAAGGGTGGGTGTTTCATTTACTAATGGGCGGGGATGAGAGTTAAGATTTTACACCAAGCTTGCACCAATAGCATGGTGTAAGAGTTAAAGAAAGAGGAAAGAAACACAACACAAAAAGTGGCTCAACAGTCAAAGACAGATTTATTTTGGAAAATAAATCTGAGAGGGGCTTCTGGCTGATTTTTGGTCAGGAGCACTCTCTCTTACAGATTAAGAGTATGTATTGGTGAGAGAGCTTATTACAGGCTTGGAATATTTCTGTTGCGGGGAGAAGTTTATGGTGGGGTTGGAATGTCTCTGGTTGGAGGGGAGGTTATCTTGGGGCTGACATCTCTCTGGCTGGAGGAGAGGGTATCTTGGGGTTGGCATGTCTCTGGTTGGGGAGGGATTTGGAATGTTTCTGGTCAAAGACGTTATTTGTAGTTTATGGTCATGCTGATCTTAGCCATTAGGCTGATGCCCTTTAGATTTTAGGCAGTTTTTGATCAAGGTGGACTTTAGAATGGCGATGCTTGTCCAAGATGATGATATTCCTGCTCTGTCAGTGGGATCAGGAGGCCTTGTGAATGCTAGCTGGTGGTGAAGGTACTGGTTCTTTATCTGGCCTTCTCCTACATTACTCCAACAGGGCAGGGGAGGAATGCCTCACTGACACCAGGTAGAGGATGGAAGACTGGCTTCACACATTGTCTTCACAGACACCATGGCGGAGGGCCTCACTGACACTAGCAGGGGAAGAAAGTTCAGGCTTTCCCATCAGCCTTCTGTCACACCCCTTGGCTCGGGGACATATGTGACCCACGACAGGTGAGGTTGGAAGTTCTTCACTCAGGCTTTGCTGGGGTGTGAGGGAGACAGGGGTACGTTGCATGGTTTTTACCTAATGTTTGGCTTGAGTAGAGCATTTGTCTAAAAGTTTTCTGTCTTGCTAGGCTGGTCCTTTAGCTAGAGAATGCAGGCTTCTGTTGGAACTTTTCTGTCTGGACCTAGTGACAGCTCCAGTAAGATTGTTCAGCATCCATATAGGAAGCATGTATGAGTGGTATATATGCGGCAAAAGAAAACCTAGGGAACTCCCTGGTGCGTCATTCCTTGTTGTATTTTATGATCCCTAGCTGGTCTACTTTCTTCTCTCCACCATTCAGATGTCTTTGTTTTCATATCTTTGTTTTATATATAATGTCTTAGGTTTTTAGCTGTGCTTAGTGAAACAAACAGGGAGAAGTGTGTCTATGCCATCTTGTCCAGAATTGGAAGTTTCCTATTTTGTTTTTTTTAATAGCATACTGTTCTTATTTGATGATTTCAGTGTCTTCCTTTTTCTTCTTCAGGTTATTAATTTTAGTTATTTTGAAGTTTTCTTCTTTACATTTTCTCTTTCTTAGTTTTTTTCCCTATTTGTTTATTTTGGTCATTTTAGTGTGTTGGAGGTTTTTCCTAAATGCCTAGCAATCTTTGGGTGAATTTCATATTTATTTCAGAGTAAGAGACCAAATATCTGTTTAGATATTATGGGGGCACGTGTGGAGCTAATCGGCTGGTGTGCTTTCCTGTCAAGTGATTTTAAAAGAGAAATTGCTTATTTTATAAGTCAACGTTTAGAGGTCTCTTCTCTGAGGTGGGTCAGTTTCTCCAGAGCGGTATCCTCCAGTCACTTATTGAGGAGATACAGGATTATACTGGGAAAGAATGAAGCAGGGTGCTGAGTCACTCCCTGCTCACCACACAGGTTTTCTTGTTATCCTGTTTTCATCCCAAACCTCTCCACTGCTTTCACC